GCCAAGATTCCAGAAATGATTGCACAAGACTTTTCAAGAAAATTGTTAAAATTTGTTATATGTTCAATAAACCTTGGCTGTGCAAATTTTATTTAATTTTGGTATGGAAAAAAATCATAACTAATAGTTTTTTTCAAAAAAGCAAGCTAATTATCCATGAAATGACAGAGAATTATTGCAGCCAAATTTTCATTTGGACACACATTATTCCTGATTATTCATTTTCATTCTTTGTTACCTCTCTGATGGATGAAAATATTGCTAAAAAGAAGTCCAGGTGTCCAAAATAAATATAACTCAGATGAGGAAGTGATGTTGGTTTGTTGTTCCATTTACTCCCATATTTTGATTGCTGCCTTGGACTATTCCTGTCTTTGTCAATAACTCTCTGGGGCTGTTGCATGTCTACTTTTACAGGACCACTTGCTAGGTAAATATAACTGACAATAAAAATATAATTGAGTAACATTTGATCCCAGCTATATAAATGGCCTAAAGTTATAAAAGTATAATTTTAGCACAGTTGTCATATTTCTTACTGCTGAGGCTCATGCGTAAGTTGTAAATACCATTGTGTCGAAATGGATGGGATCACCTGAGCTTTCAGGTGCTGTGCAGAAAAAGACACCCGGGATTCCAGGGTGTGTCCATGCTCTTACAGACTTGTCTAACATTTCACCAAGATCTGTACATCCAAAACCTTTTGAACTGCTGTAAATTTGTCACAAAAACTGACATACAAGAAGGAAATATTTTGTACTCAAGAGTTCAGAAAAGAAATGTAGATAGTAGTTGCACACTAGCTTTCTCTTGCCAGTGCCTAGCTGTCACTGCTGGATTAAGTGTCAAGGTAGAAAGCACAATTTCATTTTTGTGATGAAGCCTGTAATATCAGGGAAAAATATCAAATCAGGTTGTTTGCTGTGTAATTCTAAAGGAAAAGCTTTCTTAGGTTATAACACAGTTTCAGTTAAAGCAGTATTTCTTATCAGTGGCTCAGCTATTGGCAAAATGCTCAATCTTGCATTAAAGACATTTCAGAAACAGAATAAAGTTAGTTCAGCTGTTTTCCCTCAAGCTATGTGGATGAATACTGTGAGCTAGACTCTGATCTTTCTTGTACTGATGTAGCTCTGCGTAACCTGTCAGTTTTTCAAGAGAACTATCTTGACTTGACTACAATCTCATGCTGATGCCCTGAGATAAATCCTTGGCTGCTCAATTTTGGGAGATCCCTTCTTCAAGTGTATTGCACAAGTATATGTTGATGATTTTCTCTTGGTCCTAATTTAGTTCCTTGATCTCTTTCTAAAAATCTTATATCCTTTCTGATTACACTTCTTTGCAGACAACACAAATTGAGTGGGAGTGTTGATCTGCTGGAGGGTAGGAAGGTTCTGCAGAGGGATCTGGACAGGCTGGATTCATGGACTGAGATCAATGGTGTGAGGTTCAATAGGGTGAAGTGTCAAGTCCTGCACTTGGTTCACAACAACCCCAGGCAGTGCTACAGGTTTGGGGAAGAGTGGTTGGAAAGCTGGCCAGTGGAAAAGGACTTGGGGGTACTGGTCAACAGGCAGCTGAACATGAGCCAGGAGTGCACACAGGTGGCCAAGAAGACCAATGGCATCCTGGCTTGTGTCAAAAATAGTGTGGCCATTAGGACCAATGTTGCCCTGTACTTGGCCTTGGTGAGGCTGTGCCTCACGTACTGTGTCCAGTTCTGGGCCTCTCACTTCAAGAAAGACATTGAGGTGCTCTAGTGTGTCTAGAGAAGGGCAATAGAACTGGTGAAGGGTCTAGAGAGTAAGTCATATGAGGAGCAGCTGAGGGATCTAGAGCTGTTTAGTCTGGGGAAAAGGAGGCTCAGGGGAGACGTCATTGCTCTCTACAACTACCTGAAAGGAGGTTGTAGCAAGGTGGGGGTCAGTCCATCTTGCTACAACCTTCCCAGGGGAAGGGACAAGAGGAAATGGCCTAAAGTGCCAGAGGAGGTTCAGGTTGGACACCAAGAATTTCCTCACTGAAAGGTCGATTCCACAAGCGTTGGAATGGTGCAGTCACCAGGGAAGTGGTGCAGTCACAATCCCTGGAATTGTTCAAGAAAAAACTGTGGGTGGCATTTAGTGCTATGGTTTACTTGACAAGGTGGTGTTTGGTCAAAGGTTGGACTTTATATCTTGGAGGTCTTTTCCAACCTAAATGATTCTATGATACTTTCTCTATGAAACTACCTGTTTGTTTAACATGCTTCAGGCTAACAGTGCTGGATTTTGGTTATTAATCAATGTGGTCTACATCTCAGAAAAGCCTTGCATGTGCCCAAGGGTTGAGTAGTTGTGCTGTGATGTTTTTAGCAGAGAAATAAATGTTTTTTACTCTTCTACTGTTTACCATTCCTTTTTTCTAAGATGAAGTTGATTCTGGAACTTACACAGCCTTTTTGGCTCTTGAATCCAATAAACATGAACATTAATCTGTCTGCACAGTATCTTCTTGTGGTGGGTTGACTCTTCCTGGCTGCCAGGTAGCCACCAAAGCTGCTCTATCACTCCTATCCTCAACTGGACAGAGGAGAGAAAATATAACGAAAGGCTTATAAGGGTGGGGAAAGATCACCTAGGGATTACTGTCATGGGTTAAACAGACTCGACATGAGAAAATTAACTGAATTTATTACCAATCAAAATCAGAGCAGGACAATGAGAAGTAAAGAAAATCTTAAAAACACCTTCCCCTCACTCCTCCCTCTTTCCTGGGCTCTACCTCCTCCCCTTCAGTGGCACAGAGAGATAGGGAATGAGGGTTATGGTCAGTTCATCACAGGGTGTTTCTGCCACTGCTTCCTTCTCAGCGAGCAGAGTCCTTCCCCTGCTCCAGCATAGGGTCCCTCCCATGGGAGACAGTCCTCCATGAACTTCTCCAATATGAGTCCTTCCCATGGGCTGCAGTTCTTCATGAACTTCTCCAGTGTGGGCCTTTTCCACAGGGTGCAGTCCTTCGAGAACAGACTGCTCCAGCATGTGTTTTCCATGATGTCACAAGTCCTACCAGGAGTCTGCTCCAGCATGGTCTTCCCCTGAAATTACTACTATCTCTGATTGACTTGGACTTGGCCAGTGTCAGGTCCATTTTGCAGCCAGCTGGCATTGGCTTGGTCAGACATGAGGGAGCTTCTGGCAGCTTCTTGCAGAAGCCACCCCTGTAGCTCCCCCTGTGCTACCAAAACCTGGCCATGCAAGCCCAATACACTTGTCTTTTCATGTGAGGAGTTGTTTTGGAGGTGTGATCTTTGGTACCTAAATCCTGGCATTTTTAATTTTCATAATAGATTTATAGTTGTAGAAGTGGTGATATTATGATCTGCAAGTAGATGTTGATATGAAATCTTGTCTTTTTGCCACTGTCCATCAGTTTAAATCATTAAACCCTGGAGTTTTCAATTTGCAATTTAAAAATTTTCAGTTTTTAAAGGCTCCTAGATTACAGAGCCAGAAACAAACTGTTGTCATTGTACTTGAATATATCACTAGACTACTAATGGTTATTGAAATAATTTGAACAATTAAAGTTCACAGACAGTGTTGTCAGTCATTATGGATTACAGGAGGAACAATAGGGTACATCGATCTTTGGCCTATGGCGTCTGCTAATGTCTCTTTTCGGGACCTTTATAGCTGTCATATTTCCAAGGAATGTTTTATGACACTTTTTTAAGATCTCATATATATGATTTAAGCAGTGCTAATTGTGGTATTCTTGGTTTCCTTTCAGTCACAACCAATACTGTTTCTTCCCAGGTACTATACCCCATATGACTTTTATCTTCTCGATTATGCACCTTAATGTCTTCTGCCATGTTCTTCAAATGTCATTAATCACATTAAGCAATCAGATTACCTTCATGCAAATGAATTAATTTCTAATAACCTGCAGTCTGGCCACAGATGATTCAAACCATGAAGTGAAGTTTTTACAGTTCTTACTATTGGCTGTTCCTTCTGGCACCTGTCTCTTGCAAGAGCTACTGTGTTAGCCAGCATCTGGGGAATATTGGCTTTGTTAATACTTTGACCCTTATTTGAGGGTATAACTACTCATTGTTGTATGAGGATATGTTCTCAGTCTCAGCTCTTGAAGGGACAAAACTTGATCAGCCTTTCCGCACAGTTTGATCTGATGCTGTATTTATTGTGCATATTTAAGTACAGAAAGTAGTAAACTTGATGCTTCACATTCATGATCTGACAACACTTGGTGGAGTCCAACTATTCAATAATCAGGGTCCAAAGCTATTAGTCTGCCTTATGCTTTGGATTTCATCTTCATCTTCTAATTGATTATCCTGTGTTTGCAATTCATTTTCACTTAATTACTTTGTCCATAGTTTAAGCATGTTCTCAGATTCTTGTCATTAGCAGCACCATATGTTCAGTTCCTGTATACAATTTTAGGCTGTGTTTGATCATTTTTGGTTTTTCATTGTACAATACCACAGTTGTAATCTGTAGGCATTTTTTAGTCTTTCAATGGATTACAGACACCTCATTAGCCTTGTGACCTGCTGACCGGTCACGCTACTGAGTCAGTTCAGCTGGACAGCTGCAGGATTTAATTTAATCCTGTGAGCTTCTTATGCCCTAAGGAGTGTAATATTGTAAAAAAGAGGAGTAGGATTTACAGAGCAAGGTCCACTTTATAAGTACCAAAAAAAAAAAAAAAAAAAAAAGCTTGTATATGACAAAAGAATGTTGTAAGACAGAAAGAAACAGTGCTTATAAAATCAAACAGAAATTCTGAAGAGGGAAAGAGATTCTCCAGATCTTCCCAGAAGTGCTTTGGGAATACATTTGTCAATGATTAAAGACTTCGGATTAATAACAGAATGCAATGCATGTGTCACTTCATGAATGCAAACAGCTTTACATTCTATGATGTCTCAAACTTCACTTCTCCTTCATGCATGTCTCAGCTTTGTGATTTTCTGTTTATTCTACAGTGCTTGATGAGCTGTCCCTTAGACCAGCAGCAGGTGAGTATTTGCTTGAATAAGGTTTAAGACCATTAATGACCATGCAGCAGATGGAGAAAGCACTAAACCTTTCCACCCATCTTTGGTTACATTAATTAGATACTTTATGCACTTTAGAGGTTGCTAGAATGTGTGCAGTGGACTGCAGTGCAGTGTGGAGAGAAATGCAAGAGCACCTGTGTATGAGGGTATTCCAATGTGCTGAAGGAGTATGTTCAGTGTTTTCTGACAGAGAGCTGTCCTGGTTTAAACTGGGATAGAATTAGTTTTCTTCTTAGTAGCTGGCGCAGTACTGCGTTTTGAATTTAGAATGAGAATAATGTTGATAATGCACTGATATTTTAGATGTTGCTAAGTAGTGCTTGCCCTCAGTCAAGGACTTTTCAGTGTCCTATGCTCTGCAAGTAAGGAAGTGCACAAGAAGACAGGAGAGAGAATAGCTGGAACAGCTGATCCAAACTGGCCGAAGGGATGTTCCATGCCTCTATGTCATGCTCAGTCAGCATGACGGGGATTGACTGGGAACCAGTAATCGTTGCCTGGGGACAGGCTGGTCAGTGGTCAGCAGGTGGTGAGCAATTGTGTTTTGTGTCCCTTGTTCCTCTCAGGTTGTACTCCAATCCCCGTCTCTCTCTCTCTCCTCCTCCCCCATAGTTTAACCCCAGTACGCAACCAAGCTCCATGCAGCCGCTCACTCAATCCCCCATCTGCAGGATAAGGGAGAGAACTGAAAGCTTAAAAGTGAGAAAACTTGTTGATTGAGAGACAGTCAGTTTCATAGGACAAGCAAAAGTCACACACGCAAGCAAAGCAAAACAAGGAATGAATTCACCACTTCCCATGGGCAGGTAGGTATTCAGCCATCTCCAGGAAAGCAGAGCTCTGTCATGTGTAATGGTGACTTGGAAAGACTAACCCCATCATTCCAAATGTCCCCCCATTCCTCTTATTTTCCCTTGCTTTATATGCTGAGTGTGACGCCCTGATGTATGGAATATACCTTCGGTGAGTTGAGGTCAGCTCTCCCAGCTGTGTCCCTTCCCAACTTCTTATGCATCCCCAGCCTTCTTGATGGTGGGGCAGGGTGAGGAGCTGAATAGTCCTTGACACTGTGCAAGCACTGCTGAACAATAACAAAAAACATCTCTATATTATCAATTCTGTTTTCCGTACAAATCCAAAATATAGCCCCACAACAGCTACTGTGAAGAAAATTAACTCTACCCCAGCCCAAATCAGCATGGTCCTTCCCATTGCATTTTTTTTTTAATTATCATAATTAGTATTATTAGTACGTGAATTTGTTTCAATTGTTAAAGTGTTGTTAACTCAACTCATGAGTTTTACTTTTTTTCTGATTCTACTCCCCATCCCACCAACAGGGGTGGGTGAGACCAAGCAGCTGTGCGGTACTTAGGTGCTGGCTGGAGTGAACCATGACAAGTCCTTAATTAAGGACCTTAACTCAGAGTGAGAAGGGTCACCAGGTCCCATTTTGTCGTGTGTTACAGTTATACTGCACCTTTGAGCTGCCCATAAGTTGTAAGAGTGAATTCTTACCTAAATATCTCATTTATTTCTCCTGTAAAGTCCCATTAGATCCTTGAAGAATAAAGTTTGTCCTTAGGAATTTGCTGTTGAAAAATGTTTTTCTTAGAAGATCCTATGCAATAATGAGACAATAGTTGTACCTCTTCATCAGCTTTAACTATACTGCGTTTCATGCTCTGAATTCCTACAACAGCAGGAACAACACTGGAGTTTTGGGACTCTTTTTTCATGCTTTTGTGATATGTAGGGAGTCATGACACATTTTCAGGTTATTTTCATGGGACTTGAGACTGGCTGGTATGAATTGGACGCAAAATAAACATCTGTATCAAGGTTTCATGACCACTGAGTGAAAACTTGCTGCTATGGGTCAGCTTATTTACTGAGTAAGAGGTTCTGATGTACAAACACTGAAATACTCATCTGAAAGTTTTTCTTGATCTGCTCCCAAGGAGTATTAAAAAGAAAATAGATCCATGCAACAGAGCAATCTGCTTTGTTCTTTTCTAATTATGGAACCTAATCAGTCAAAGCAGTGATTGTCTCAACCTAAACAAAGTTATTTTATCCCCATGTACAGTTTATGCAAATATGGTGTTTCTTAAATTTGCTAGCAGTATATTCATTTGGAGAACATCAGTTTTATGCCAGGAACTAAACCGAAGGGAATTACATGATAAAATATGTGACAGAAGGCTTCTCACAGCTGAATTTCATACGATTATGTGGTTCTGTGGTTGCATAATCATGTTTCTAGTATATGAGAAACATATATATTTCCCTTACATATAAAAGTCTTAGCTGGGGAATTGATTGCAATTTAAATTACATTTCCTACTGTGCTTCAGAAGGCCACAGGTTTAAGTACATTATTCTGAAATGGGCTTGATTTAAGCTAGTGTAATACCTTTTTCAATTTTCATTATGCTTTTTGCCATAAAAAAAAGATTTGTCAAGAGAACAGGTTCATGCCATGTCAGTTTGTGTCCCTACTACAAACTGTCATAGGAACGAATAACCAAATTTTAACTACCCAATATGTTATGTGTTATGTATTGTGTGCCAAATTGGTATGCTATTTTAGCTTCTATCACGGCTTTTCATTGGATAGACATTTTACTGTCACATACCTATCAATTATAGCTTGAATGAGGATCAGTGGAGCAGTTATTAAATCAGAAGGAAGCACACTGGAAAGGTTGTGCCATAGAACACAAAATTTTAATTTGGAGAATAGGACTGTATTATCTTTTAACAGAGAAGAGATGACGTGATCAAACCATTTCTCAAAATTAAGCATTTGAAAATGGTACTGAATGACAATTCATAAAAGGGATGACTAGGTGATAGCAGACTCCCCCCAAAACTCTTAGCTACTCTTATCTAAATACCTGTGAATGACTGGGATATGCAAATTCCTATGCCATTAATATTCAGCATTAATATGGTATAATCAAGAAGGTAGTCAGAGGGAGAGTGGCTAAGTAGTATCCGGAGGTAACAAGTAAGATAAGACAAATTGGATACCTGAATAACCAAATGTATAGGCAAAGGTGGACATTGGACACTGTATTTGAGATCTGGAGCAGAAGAAGGAGGGCAACTGGAGGCCATTTGCTGACTGGGGACAAAAATGGGGTTTCAAATCTGTTTTTCTGGACTATCTGTACATGTTATGTTAGTATTTAATATCTGTCCAGATAAGTATTTAACTTTAGACTGGAGTCTTCTGTTCACTTAACAGATGCCTGAAGTGTTGGTGGTTGCAAAGTGGTTCAGCTTTAACTGAAATTATGAAACATATTTTCCTTCAGGCTATGTCATGACATAGATATGATACTCTGGATTATGTGTTATGTTAACTTCATGGGTCTAGGTATGAAGAGACCCTTCAGTAGAAGAGTCCTGTGATGTTGTATGGCAAATTTAGACTGAAACTCTCGTGAACTGATTGCTCCAACTTTCACTAAACTGCTTAAGGGACTTTAAACTCTGAAAAGGAAATTCATTTCCAGGGCAGTGGTCTAATAGCTTGACCAATCAGAGAAGGTCATATTTAAGGAGTCCATATTGGCTTTAAAGTTTTAAATTTAAATAAAGTTTTAAATAAAAAAACGAAAAAAAAGGGAAATAACAGCTTTGCTAGACCAGGTGCTGGTGAGGAGGTGAATGAGATGTTCTCCATCTTACTGACTCATGTCAGTCACTTGTCTTCATCTTAAGCATTTTTTTCTCTGTTACTATGCCATTGAGCTAAATACCTTTAGGGAAGATTGAAATAGCAAGTTGTTCTGACAAATAATTCTTATTCTTATATAGCATAAATGAAATGAATTACTAGTATGCGTGTAATTTAAGATCTTCACTGACATGAATACATTGGTAAAGGTAGTTTGGCTTTGTTTTTCCACATTTCTAGTAGTTATGGTGACAAAACTTTTAGGTATAGAGCCAGTGTAAATCAGCAGAGCTAATCCTCAAATAATTTATTTGCTGAAGTGCTAGTTTAACCTACTTTTTAGCTGCATGGTATGTAAGTGTAGGAAAAAGTGAATGAATATAGGGTATAATAAATATATATATATATAAAAATAGATGTATACATACCCCCTTAACTTCTTCCTGTCTATGGGATTATTATATGGAATTTTTCAGGAGCCTGCCTACAGAATTGAAGTAGGAATGAAAAGCTATGCTGGAGTTTCAATAGCCTAGTTTTTAAAAGATATATATAAACATTTGTCTGACTTCTTCGCGTACCTACTTACTTTTCCCCAAAGGATTAAACTCCTGCAAAGTTTTTTTTCTACCTATTTCCCAGTTGAAACTGGGAAGATGTGCTGCCAGTCTCTATGATTCTGTATTACCTGAGATCTGTAGACCGGATTTGGCAACTGAGATTTGACAGATGAGCTCTTTAGACTCGTATAGATTAATGATGTATAGTATAGGTTATAATTACTGCCACCTTACATATTTCTTCTGAAATTGATCCTTCCTGTCTAGCACAGTTCTTGCTCCAAAAGCTTCACCCAAAAAACCATCTGTGATAAGGTACCACTAAATGGATAACTAGGAGCTCACTTGCAGCCCTAGCCACAAAACCATCTGCTTCTCGGGAAGCAGGCAACATCCTTTAGGATTTTTTAGGTGTATATGTTCAACTATTGCCAAGTCAGATAGAGAAAAATTCGTGAAGCAGAGTTATGGCAGTTTTTTGGTTTTAGACTTAGTATGAAAGCCTGATGTTTGAGTTCAAATGAAAGGATATGGCCACATTAATACCTAATGAGTAGTAATTGCAGGAGAGTAGTTATTATAATCCAAATGGAAATATTTCACACAGACATTAGTAATTAACACATTTGAAACAAAATAGAAGATGTGCAACTATTTGGCCTGCAAATGTATTTTTGGATTATCTTTGTTATCCAATGTCATTAAGAGAT